ATCCTGATTATCTAAACCATGAAAATGAGGTAGTAAGTATATTGAAGCCATCCCGATGGAGCTAATGAAAGCCTGAATTCAACATTCAAATGGATTCTTGGTCTTAAATTATGCACTTACCTCTTCTGTTGGATAGGTGATGCAAAGAGGTTGTTGGTCGACATTAGGAGTTGGCTAATGTCTCAGAGTGCATTTGGTAGGTGTTTCTACCATCTCCTCTTTTTCCTCTTCAGTCTTGGTGATAGGGTCCTCCTCTTCGGAGTGAGGCTTCTCCTTTTGGCTCAATTTGTACTTAAATTTATCCTTTTGGCACCTATCAAAGACCAATACATAACTAAAACTAAGGGGGTCTATTAGTTTTTAAAACATCATAATATGCAAGGAATTCAGTATAAAAATAGGTTCAAATATGCGTTTATCAAAGTTCTACTCTTGTTTGGTGAAATTGGATTGACCACCACATCAACTGAATATCTAGAACATATTTTTGAAAAGATATTTGGAAGAGAAAATCTACATGTATGTTTCATGAAGACTTGAGTCCTGAGACAACAAGAGAAATGTGTGTAACTAATAAAGAGTTTCTATGAACTAATTTAATCACCATGAGAACAAGGGTCGAGAGGCTGATACAAGTGGTTGAACAACATAGACTCATCCACGGGTAAAGGAACCATAAAATGCTCATTAAAACATCACTCATAGCAAGGATCTATCTTGACAGTCTATTGGTCAGTTGTATTTCACACCTTTAGACTTAATGAAATTGGGTCATAAAGCAAGTATACAATACGGCCCAACGTCGTCTTTCCAAGTAATAAAGTGGTACAAGTACCGGATTATCGTCCACAGGGATTGTGGCCTAAGTTAGATTAGAGTCCAATGAAAGAGATGATTTCAGATGGCGATTTTGAAGACTTTTCTTTGATTGTAAGGTGATCCAAAACAGAATACAGATTATATAAAAGAAGCAAGGGTGTAAGACTTAAGGTGAGACCCAAACGCAAATTCCAGCAGCCAATGCTATATGAATGCTACAGCAAGCAGTGTTTCGAAACTAAGTTCCACCATCTATTTTGAAGGCATTCCTCTCGGACTTCACCATTTCACTATCTTATAGCTTTCCACCAATATCTCTATGCGGTGTCCGGACCGGGGATAGTGACATAATGGTGTACAAAATACATGGATAAACAAATCTCTTTGTTAAAAATCACTCTCTCGAGTCGATTCCCATATCATTCGAGTTGGCGTGTTCTTGATAGTTCATCTCTGAATCTATCACACTTTGACACTTTTAAAGAGCGACCAACCCGTCGGGAGTTAAGTTTTGAAAAACATAAATGACAAGTCTCCTTGTCGGCAACTTTCTCAAGTCTACCTCTAATGTCATCCAAGTTGACGTGCTTATTGATGGCTTATCTCTAAGCCCATCGCACTTTAACACTTTCAAAGTGATCAACCCGTCAAGAAGTGTGCTTGGTTTTTATAAAAACTCGAATGAAACAATGGAACGTCGTTTATAAAAACATTTAGCTACTTTCGTTTGGTTTAAAAATCTCACATTTCCATCTCACACCCAAGCTATAAAAGCTTAGCTACTCATAACGGAAAGTAAAATACAATAAAAATAATTGACGGAAAGTAAAGACATAAATGTAAAACGGAAAATAAATGACGGAAAGATAAAGAACGGAAAGTAAATGACGGGAAAGTAAATTGCGGAATTTAAATAACGGAAAGTAAATGATAACAAACGTAAAGGAGCATAAAATAAAGAACGGAAAATAAATGACGAGAAATTAAAGAAGAAAACTTGAAAATTCAAGAACTTGGAATTTTCTCAAAATGTGCTCTCAAAATCAGCCCTAACTAGCTGATTTTGATCTTGCAAATATGTTATATGATGTGTTTAAACATATGGCCAAGCTCCCCTATTTATACAAAAAGTCTAGCATAAAACAACAAAATTATAACCCACTAGTTAATGACCAAAAACTAATAACAAAGGGAATCCTAGGCACAAGATGATCCATTAGTCCAAAAATCCCTGATTAATAAAATCTTCCAGCTGGCATCTAGTTGTCGTCCATTCAGCATCCAAAAGTCAACAGCTTAATCGTTAAGCCCTTGCCAAATCATGTACGTAACAGGTGGTTGCTGCTGTAATGTTATAGCATCAAGCTGTTTACAAAAAATTCTCCGTTAGCTTATATTTTTATGTCCCAACAAGTTAAACCACAATATTTTAGCTCCATAACAAAAGTATAAAGAAATAAATCAAAATGACTCAAAGTGGGAACGAAAGGAAACTAATTTTAACTAAAAAATCGTAAAATGGATGCATTATGTGTTGAATTCTCAACACATATCACACCCCCAAACTTAAACCGTTGCTTGTCCCCAAGCAACCAAAAGACAAATATAAAGACTCAATTTATACAAAAACTTGTATGATCAAGGCATTAAGTGCCAACCCAATAAGAGTTATACTTACATGAGGTTCATAGATTTTCATAATTCCTAGATGAGTTATTCAAATCCCAACCATTTTATTTAAACCATAGGCTAGCATTCCCTTTTCTTTGTGAGTTCAAACACAATAAAAAAAAATAGGATCAATAGGGCTTGAAGGGTTTACTCTCTTTGGCATATCTTTTCTCTCATTGCCTTTTTCCTTTTATACTCCACATATGAATTTTTCAAAATTTTAGGCTCTTTGGCCTCTTTTGATTGGAGTGTGCACATAGTCCCTATGGAACTTTTTATTGTGCTATTTTGAAACACATAGCCCCTATGGGACTTTTATTGTGTTTTTCTAAACCCTTTTGGTGATAAGAAGTCAAATTAGAGCTTTGCTCTTTGGTATTGACTTTATATCCTTATATAAACTCCTCCCCCAAACTTAAATTTGACAATGTCCTCATTGGCGCTTTATGGGGTAGAAAGTGTTTGAAAGGGTGCAAAAGGCTTAATATGAGTATAGAAAAGAAGACCTAAATCATTTCCTATTGTGAGTTGTGTGATCAAAGTATTTTCCCAAAAAGTGGTTTGCTAGTTCTAGTTTTGAACAAAGTGATTTGGGTGAACGTCAAGTAATCCGAAGAATTATTCAAGCTATGAACTTATGTGCATATGACTCAACTCAAGTGATCATGCATAGAAAAATAAGGCTAAAAACTATTTAAAAAAAATTGTTCCCAAATAAATAAAAGATGGAGACTAAAGTACATGGTAGAACCTGCCCTACTCCGAAGGAGTAGGCTGTGTGCTTCAGACAGCCGCGTTGATTTTTGCCTTTAGCCTTGCATTCTCTTCCTTGTAATGTGTCAACCTCTTTTTCAACTTTTTGATCTTACCACCAGCTCCCTTTTCTAGCTCCTCTTTCAATTTCTTAAACCTCTTCTTTGCCTTTCTTTCACTTTTCTTCAATTGCTCCATCAACTCAGCTTGCATTCCATCAATCTTCTCTACCATCTCAGCCCGGTGGTCCATCAAACTGTCCATCAGGTTGTTGCCCTGTGCGAACAAATCCTCCATAACCCTCGTCATCCCTATGTGTTCCCTTCCTCGGTCACCTCTCTCTCTTAGCCGTGATACCGCTTTCATATCGATTGACCACTTTTCCTCACTCTCCTTGATCACTAAGTCATCTGTATAACGAGGCACCCCTGCTTGCAACAATAGTTTGTTAAGTAGGCCCGGGAAAAATAATTTCCCTTGATTCCTCCTCGCACAATAGAGGATGGCCTTTTCAATAACCTCCCCCACATCAATTGATTTACCCATAACTACACAATATAGTAGAATAACTCTCTCAACCGAAATGGAACTATCATGAGTTGTTGGGTGGAGAGAGTGTCGAATGAAATTCATCCAAACATTCGCGTCGGGAGTCAAGTTGGAAGCCCTAAAAGATCTCAGCATGTAATTGCTGTGGGAGTCCCATGTGGCTTCGAGCTTTCCTAACTCTCTACCAATCTCGTCTAATTTAGCTTGGATGCTTTGAGGGAGAGGGTACCATACTCAGTTTTTCTCAGGGGTGATAGGCCTAGAAGTCTGTTTATGGCCTTAGCCGAAAAACTGACCTTAACACCCCTTACTTTGAGTTTGGAGGTACTAAAAACACAAGCCTCCGCATAAATTTTTTTTATCAACGTCAAATTAAAAGAATTCATTACCTCACACAATGTTTGCCAACCGTGCTTATCAATGATCTCTCGTATAAATCCAAATTATTCGACGCTCCTTTGATAAAATCCCTTGTCGGGCAACACCTTCTTCTTTTGAAATTTGTCAAACAATTCTTGGTCCTTGTCTGAACTGAATCCATCAATAGGCATCTGGGGCCTCGTAATCGTTTTTGGGCTTGGGCTTTACCCCATGGACCTGCTGTCTCGAACTGTATTGATGATCCCATTCGGGATTATGTACGTGGTGCAAAGGTCGTGTGTCTTAATTGGACCGAAGGTGTAGGAGTCCGTTTGGCCTGTTTTCTCGGGGGCTGTCTCTCCACAKCCTTGGATTTAGTCGCGAAGACTCTCCCTAATCCCTTTCTTTTCTTAGTGGGTATAGTGGTCATACCCCTAATATCGGCCTCCAAGTCCATTTCAATTGTTGGGGACTCAGTGTTTTCCTCCCTAATAGGTTGTGCACCAATATCAAGCTCAAAAGGGTCTTCAACAGGTTGTGCATAGTAGTCTTCCTCAACAGGTGGTGTATCATGATCACACTCAAATTGTTCTTCCTCAACAGTGTGAGTAGTAGAATCGGCCACAGCCGTAGGTTTATGAGTGATGTAATGATCAGGCCAAGTCAAAAAATAGACTTTTGTCTCATTCAAACCAGTGGGTGATGGTGTAGAAATGTCCATTAAATCGTTTTCCTCCTTAGAGGAGTCGGAGGTTGTAAGTCCCTATACCAACGAATTAGGGCTCAAATTAAGGCTTACCTCAATAGCCAATCTAGGGTTTACAATCGCTGGTGAGGTTGGAGGAGTGATGTTGGCGACAGTAGGTGGAGGGAGTGGAGGCACGTCGACGGCTGGAGGCGGCGATGTGGGTGAAACGACGGCGGCTGGTGGCAGAGACGGCGGTGTGGGTGAAACAACGGCGGCTGGTGGTGGAGACGGCGGTCGCCTCGTTGGTTTCTTAGCCCTAGGCGATGAATCTGCTATGAGTTGCGTGACCAGTCGTGGTCTGGGCGGTGATGGTGAGCATGGGGGAGATGATGAAGGGTTGTTGGCTACGAGGTCCACCCATTCGGGCTCGCTCGTTTGTCGTGAAGCAGAGGCAGCGGCTCGCCGGCGGTTGCTCCTTCGTACCGGCGGTGGGGGTGGGTCACGGATGACAGGCTTCTTTGAACGGGCCATGATTGTTGCAATAGACAGTAAGTTAGAGGGAGTGATAAGATGATGGTGTTGTTTGGAGTGTAGTTGATTAATGGAGAAAAGATGTTTGAAGGAGAGGCCGACGAAATGTGGTGATGATGGTTCTTGGGAAGATGAAGTGTCTCTTCTCCAACAAGTCTTTTGTGAAAAAAAAAAATGACGGTTGATGCAATAATTGGTTGATAAAACGGTTATATGGAGGTTAAGAAAACATATCATTATGGAGGGAGTGGGTGGTGTATGCATGGGAGACCAAACTGAAAAGAATAGGCTGACAACAATTATTTTCTGATTTTTCCAAGCTGCTACTGATGTCACTGTACTTTCTGTGATTTTCTCAATTTGTTTTTACCCAACTTCACATGTGAACTCTGGACAAGAATGCTATAGCATCATCAAAGCATCAACTTTTCTCACAACCTTTTCAAAATTATCCTGCACACTAACAAACTAATAAAACATAGCTGCTCCTAATATAAAAAGGAAACATATTTACAAACACCATTGGACTTTGGAAAGTCCACAAAACACATTCATTTAAGGTGTAGCCCAATTCTCAGAGCAATGCTCTGGGAATGCTACAACATCATGAAATGCCTTAACTCGTTGCCCATTTACTTTAAACAACGTGTTGTCCTCCGGGTTAATCAGGTCAACCGCTCCATAAGAGTAAACTTTATGAATGACAAAGGATCCGGACCACCTAGACTTGAGCTTTCCTGGGAATAGTTTCAACATAGAATTAAACAAGAGGACTTTTTGTCCTTCTTTCAACTCCTGGTGATGGATTATGTTATCATGCCACCTTTTTGTCTTTTCCTTATAAAGTTTGGCGTTTTCATAAGACATTTGCCTTTGTTCTTCCATTTCACAAAGTTGAAACTTTCTTTTCTTTCCGGCTTCATCCAAAGACATATTGAGCTCTTTGATAGCCCAATATGCTTTGTGCTCAAGTTCTAGAGGTAGGTGACAGGCTTTTCCGTAGACTAGCTTATATGGAGACATACCGATTGGTGTTTTGAAAGCAATTCGGTATGCCTATAAAGCATCGTCTAATTTGAATGCCCAGTCCTTCCTATTGGGTTTGACTACTTTTTCCAAAATGCTTTTGATCTCCCTATTTGACAGTTCTGCCAAACCATTAGTTTGTGGGTGATAAGTCGTGGCAATTCTGTGGTTAACATTGTATTTTTCAAGGACTCCTTTTAACAAATTGTTCACAAAGTGGGTACCCTCATCACTAATTAGTGCCCTTGGGGTACCGAATCGTGTGAAAATCTGTTTTTGGAGGAACTTAACCACATTTTTTGCGTCATTTGACACACATGCCATAGCCTCCACCCATTTGGATACGTAGTCAACAGCCACCAGTATGTATTGGCAATTATTTGATGGAGGGAAAGGACCCATGAAGTCTATTCCCCAAACATCAAATAATTCAACTTCGAGTATCCCATTTAATGGCATTTCATTCCTTTCGAAAATGGACCACTCCTTTGACATTCGTTGCACCTTTGTGCAAAATTGTGGGAGTCTTTAAAAATGGTTGGCCAATAAAAACCGGACTGTAAGACCTTGGTTGCAGTCCTTTGGCCTCCAAAATGGCCTCTGTATGGTGCATGATGGCAATGCTGTAGGATTGCTGCCACTTCAGATTCAGGTACGCATCTTCTTAGAATCTGATCTGCACCAAGTCTAAACAAAAATGGTTCATCTCAAAGATAAGATTTAGCATCATGAAAGAATTTTTTCAACATGTGGCCTGTGTAATTTGAAGGTTTTATTCCACAAGCCAAGAAATTAGCTAAATCAGCAAACCATGGTGTTTTTGGTTGGTCAATCAAGAGGATTCTTTCATCTGGAAAAGTATCACTAATTTCCATTCCTCCTTTCTCGGGTTCTTCCAACCTAGACAAATGGTCCGCTACTTGATTTTCAACTCCCTTCCTATCCAGTATCTCTAAGTCAAATTCTTGCAATAAAAGCACCCATCTAATTAACCTAGGTTTTGCATCTTTCTTTGAGATTAGGTACTTGATGGCTGAGTGATCGGTATGCACAATGACTTTTGTTCCATTAAGTAGGACCTAAATCTCTCAAACGCAAAAACTATGGCCAATAATTCCTTCTCAGTTGTGGTATAATTAATTTGTGCCTCATTCAAAATCTTACTTGCGTAGTAGATTGAATGAAACACCTTGTCCTTCCTTTGTCCTAATACAACACCTACCGCCCAATCACTAGTGTCACACATTATCTCAAAAGGTTTGTTCCAATCCGAGGCAACTACCACTGGTGCGGTAACCAAAGCTTTTTTCAAAGTTTTGAATGCATTTCTGCATTCATCATTAAAATTGAATTTTTGGTCATGCTGTAGGAGTAAACAAACAGGTTTTGAAATTTTAGAAAAATCTTTGATAAACCTTCTATAAAATCCGGCATGATCCAAAAAGATTCTGATTCCCTTAACCGTGGTAGGTTTGGGTAGTTTTTCAATTACCTCAAGGTTTGCCTTATCTACCTCAACCCCTCTTTTTGAAATCAAGTGTCCAAGAACAATTCCTTCTTTGACCATGAAATGGCATTTCTCCCAATTAAGGACCAAGTCTGTTTCCTCACACCTTTCCAAGCACTTTTTCAAATTATTTAAACAACTGTCAAATGATGAACCATACACAGAAAAATCATCCATAAATATTTCAATGGATTTTTCAAGCATATCAGAAAAGATGGACATCTTACACCTTTGAAAGGTGGCTGGAGCATTACAAAGTCCAAATGACATTCTTCTGAAAGCAAAGGTGCCATAGGGACAAGTAAAGGTGGTTTTCTCTTGGTCTTCCGGAGAAATGGCTATTTGATTGTACCCTGAATAACCATCCAAGAAACAATAGAACTCCTTTCCGGCTAGCCTATCCAATATTTGGTCAATGAAAGGTAGTGGAAAATGGTCTTTTTAGGTAGCCTTGTTTAGTCTCCTATAGTCCATGCATATTCTCCAACCGGAGACAACTCTAGTAGAGATAAGTTCATTTTTGTCATTTGTGATGACTGTGAACCCTCCCTTTTTTGGAACACATTGGACCGGACTAACCCAAGAACTACTGGCAATCGGAAAATAATTCCAGCATCTAACCATTTTAAAATCTCCTTTTTTACTACCTCTTTCATGATAGGGTTTAGCCTTCGTTGGGGTTCTATGGAAGTGAAATTTTTATCTTCTAGGATGATCTTGTGTTGAAAAATAGAGGGACTAATCCCTTTAAGGTCAGCAATGGTCCATCCTAAGGCTTTCTTATGCAATTTCAACATATCCACAAGTTTCTTTTCTTGATACGATTCTAGGGTAGATGAGATAATGGCAGGCAATTTGCCTTCTTCTCCTAGAAAAGCATATTTTAGATGGGATGGGAGTTGTTTCAACTGCAAATCAGGTGGTGATTGTATGGACGGGGTGAAGTCTTTTTCCTCATTATTTTCTAGCAGCTCAAATGCTGCAGCATTCACTGGGACAACATTAGTTCCTAATTCCTCTATTTCCTCAACAATTTCCTCTTCTATTTCCTCATCATATTCTCCTTCCAACTTAAGGTTTTTCTAAATTCCCTCTTCCAAACACATCTCCTCTATCTCAGATATTCTTGAACACTCTTCCAAGTAATCAGGGTACTTTAGAGAGTTGAAGACATTAAAGGTGACTTTCTGGTCTTCGAGTCTCATGGTCAACTCTCCTTTTTGGATGTCTATTAAAGTTCTTCCAGTGGCTAGAAATGGTCTTCCTAATATAATAGGAATATCCTTATCTGCCTCAAAATCTAGAATGATAAAGTCCGCCGGAAATATGAACTTGTCAACTTGTATCAAAACATCTTCAATTTTCCCCTTAGGATATGCTATGGACTTGTTGGCCAATTGGAGTGTGACTGTGGTTGGTCTAACTTCTCCTATGCCTAAAGTGTTGAAAACAGACAAGGGCATAAGGTTGATACTAGCTCCTAAGTCACATAGGGCTTTCCCTATCTCCTTCC